AGTTAGCCAAACCAACCCTCAAGGATCACCCGGTCTAGTTTCCGAATATCGGAGAGCGTCGGCAGGAAGAATCCAAAAGAGGCTTGGACTGTAGTGGTTGGCGTTGCGGAGATGCTGAAGGAATATTTCCGAACCAGAACACGACAAAGGCGCAGCCCCCCACGCAAGATAACAAGGCTGCTCAGAACTAGTCGCCTCACACCCCAGTGGCAGCGTGCCCCCACGTGGGCGCACGTGGTCCTGTCCCCCCAACTTAGTATATATACCTCTTGTAACCCTCGAAGAAGGGGATCCAAATTCACTCTCTCTAAACTCCCTTGTAAAAGTGACCGGGCACTCTCCGTTTTAATATAATTCGGGCTACAGGTGTTCCACCTAAAGTCCTACCGGTCATTCTGAGTGTTTTTACTTTCTTTACTTTACTGAATCAAGCCAACAATTCTAGACCCGGTCTAGTATAGTTTGACCGGTCAAGTAATTTACACCATCAACACCAACACTTTGTGTTGGTGTAAAACTAATTTTTGATAATGCACCAATATTTTGTGTCCGTGTAAATTTTTTTTAACGCACCAACACTTATGTCGGTGTAAACCATCAAAATGTTTGTGTATAACTACGGTGTACAAATGGGGTACAACTTGTGGTGTAAGTGTAGCATACCTTTTTTTGTTTACTTAGTTTTATTTTCCAAGAGTTTAGAAAAAAATACTCGTACTAAAGTAAAACTACTCCCTCCGTCCTAAGATGTACTTCCCATTTGACATTTTACGATTTCGAAGATTGCACTTTGACCACAAATATTTTTATTTATACATGTATATATTTTATAAAAATTTGATATTTGAAAACTATATTTCAAAATGAATATATTCATATTAAAGTTATATCATAAAACAATGTATTTTTCTATATATCATAGTCAAAGTTTACAAACTTTGACCAGGAAAAGTCAAACGGGAAGAATATTTCCGGATGGAGGGAGTATATGAAATTTGCACTAGATAGTACTAAAAACAAGCCATTTCTCAATTTGCACTTGAACTTTTATAGGTCCTCGAGATTTACCGAGATTTGCGTATCATACATCAACAGATCATCGGCATATGCTTGAAAAGTCCACATCGCTTTCTCGTTTTGCTCGAGACCGGAAAAGCACGTTAAAACCAAAGAGTTTCATGTTAAAAATAAAAACAAATACTTTAATAATTTTTTTAAGAAAGGAGAGAAATTTATATTTGTGGTGTGTATTAAACTTTTTAAAAATAGATTAAATTTATAGAGGAGATGAATTTTTTTTATAAATGCCAACGACATTATTAGAAATCACCCTAAATAGGACCAACAATAGAGAAAAGTATCAAAATAGGACTTTCATGTTTTTTTTCCTGAAATAGAACTTTGCACTGTGGTAATGTGACTTTGCCATGTTGTAATGTATGTGGTAGTGTACATGTGCAAATTATTATACTTTTTTGGTAATGTATATGACCATGTATGGTAATGTAAGTCTTATTTCGGGAATAAAAACATGTAAGTCCTATTTTGTTATATTTTCAATGTTTTAGTCCTACTTTGGCTTTATCCCTGATATTATAGCCGTTTTGGGGGGGGGGGGGGGA